GAAACACTATTTTAGTTCCACTACATAGATCACCTCTGCACCTGAACTAGTACATGGGAAGATTAGATTGCATTGACTATATGTCTTCATCGATCTGTTAACTGTAATTGTCCAACAACAATCCTGGAATTCTTCTGCTTTCACCTGGTTGCTGACATTGTGTAATGGGTGTCAAGAGTTCTGAACTCATTGCATCAGAGTGTTACTATGGTAACCTGTGGCAACACTCTGAACTGCCTGAAGCTCATGGGATTCATTACAAGGTGTAGATTTTAAAACCTGTCCTCCTGACTCTCACTCAGATTATGATTTTAGAGGGCTAGCTTATTGATCATGACTGAATAAAAAAATATATAGCTCTGATCTAGCAATCTGTATAGTTGTTGATTGGCACTAAGATGATGAGACTCCATATAGGACTGGTGAGCCCAAATTATATTTTTTATGCTTAGTATTTAGCCTCACTAGATGATGACCTTTCTGATTCAAAAGAATATGCAGAATCACAACTCCAGACTGCTGTATAGTCTAAAGGGCCCAAGATCTGTATTTCATACAAGGCTCCAGTGAAAAAGATCTTGCAAACCTGTTTCTGCAACTTTTTTTCAGGATAAATCTTTAAAAGAGAATTGCTTCCTGTTTTGCAGTTACAAACTCCAGCTGAACTCTAGTTTACATCATGTTTGCACAACATTCCAGAACAAACATCTCTTATTTGCAAAACCTTATGGGCAAAAAAATTGGTTCAGCACTTCTGAAATTCAGGACATCGTCAATTCGGGACTTTGGCAATTCGAGACTTCGTCTACTTGGCACTTCGGTTCGGCACTTCCGAAATTCTGGAATTTGGCAATTTGGGAATTTGGCAATTCGGCAATTTGGCACTTCGGTTCGGTTCTGCACTTCCAAAATTCTGGACTTCGGGAATTCCGTACTTCAGCAATCCTGGACTTCAGCAATTCGTCATTTTGAGACTTCGGGCATTCGGCACTTTGGGACTTCAGCAATTCAGGACTTTGGCAATTTACTAACCCTAGCCCTACCCCTAACCCTATTCTTACCCCTAACCCCATCCATAAACCCATCGCTAACCCCATTCCTAACCCTACCCCTAACCCAAACCCTACCCCTAACCCTAGCTACCACAACCACTTACATATATAGGGTTAGGGTTAGAGGTAGAGTAAGGGGTAGGGGCAAGATTAGGGGTAGAGTTAGGGTTAGATTTCTGTCATCATTCACATAACTTTCCCTCCCTCTCTTGTTTTGCCACTTTTCAGAAATCCAAAGCACTTCGGCACCTCCGCAATTTGGTTCGGTTCAGCACTTCCGAAATTTTTCACTTTGGTAATTTGGTAATTTGGCACTTCTGCAATTCGGTTCAGTTCGGAACTTCCGAAATTCGGCACTTTGGCAATTCGGGAATTTGGGCATTCGGAAGCATCCGAATGTCTGAATTGCTGAAATTCATCCAAATTTACATTCGGAAAGAAACAAATTGCACATGTCTAATAATCAGAACCCACTATATTGAAATGGTGGAAACCATTCTGAATCCCACGTTTCTATAAAGCACTGCTAGATGCAGCATTGAAAAAGAAATTCATCTCAAGGGAGGAATACTTGTTTATTTACACAAGATCTCCTAAAATGTCAAACTTCTATTGTCTACCAAAAATACAAAGAGTACACTATACTAATGTTCTAGATAATTTACTGCAAACCAATTAGTTTGAATGACTATCTGTTCCTGTCCAAATTAAAGATAATAAAGTTGCGTGCACGCAGAAGTAAATTCACACTGAGACACAAGGTTCAGGGTAATGAAAGAACTTCAGAGAAGTTTAATGGCTTCTGCCAGAAAATGAGTGCGCAGACCCTTATAAAGGCATTATTACATCATTGAAGAAAATCAAGATATAGACAAATAGACATTGTTAATTGGCTTAGGTGCTAAGATGTTAGTAAAATGCCCTCCCCATTCTTAGGTCACTATCTACGTAATTTCTTAACTCCTACAGGTCTTAGCGCCATTTTGTTAAAATGAGGAGCTCACTCGACGGGAGGGGCCTTTTGGCAGCTATCCATTTGGAGCGCAGCTGGCACTTGTTAGTTTCTCAAGGTTAAGTTTCAAGGATTTTAGTAAATACACATTTTATCAAAGCTATTTCTTGCTGACATGCAAATTCTATGTTCTATAGACAAAGCTTCCTTGTAAAACTATGGGGGCCTCTTAGAGGTATAGTAAGAGGATTTAAAGGGGCCTTACAGATTTATAGAGGCCTAATAATTCTACAACAGTCCCCCCTAAAATGTTATTTGCTAAAAGACAAAACTTTATTTGTTAGTATCAGAAGAAGTATTAGCCCAAAGACACAGAAACCCCATGACCGCTGACTTAGTGTTAATGCAAAATGCAAGTCTATCCCTCTCTTGACCCTAACAGGCTGCAGCACATCCGTCAGTACGGTTCAGGAACACTCTTCACTCCGCTGGTAACCCATAGTGGCTTATCCACTACTTCTCCGTACGGCAGTCCACCCATAAAGACGGACGCTGTCCCTGTACTGTCCCTTCCTAGACTTTCTGCACTTCATCAGTATAAGGGAGAGTTTGTAGCGGAATACAGGGTGAGATGAGGTCTTGATCATCGATTGTCAGATGAGTGAAGGTTGGTGTTGCTTGGTCTACAGTTTTCTGCAGGAATTTCCTTAGGCATGGGAGAACACAACAAATGAGAAGAGCGAGAATAAAAAGAAAAATTAGTAAGGCAATACCAATCTGGACTAAAGCTCTCTGCCAACCAGTCATCCAACCAAACCATTTTTCCCAGGGATCAGTACCTCCAGAGTTTCTCTTTAACTCTTCTGAGAGTCTATTTAATTTAGCTATGGCCAGAGTGACTTTACCATTAGGACCTGTGTTTTCTGGAATGTAAGTGCAACAAGTCATAGTGTCGGGAAGTATTTTACAGACCCCCCTTTTTCGGCTAAGATCATGTCTAAGGCCAGTCTGTTCTCGAAGGTCATTTGGGATGTGGCCTGTAATTGCTCGGCCAAGCCCTGGAGGGCATCCCTGGTGTAGTTCACGAAGCGCTGTTGGTTGTAATAAATGTAGTTAATCCAATTAAGGTTTTTGTTGGCAGTGACTATGGTAAAAAGTGATTCAAAACCTACAGCTACTTCATCTCTAGCTTTAAATTCATTAGGTACCCCCCTAGGCACCCCAATGGCATCTATGTAAATGTGTGGGTCAAAACTGCCTTTTACTGGGGTTTCGCGCCTTACTCTGGCTGATGTATGTGGAGGGTCGTATGTGTCATGATGATTATCAGAAATAATATGAATGGGCATGATAACTTTGGCTAGGGTACACTCACCCCACCACTCAGTTTCCAGCCTAGATCTTAACTGTAGATCCCCACATAACCAGTAAATATCCCCAAATGACCTGGTATGGTGTTGCAACAGGCGTATAGGAACAGTTCTGTAAGTGGCGCAATAACCTTTAGAAAAATTACCCATGAATTTACCAATCCCGTCATACACGGCATAACAAGTGTAATTACCTCTATAGATTGTGATTCCATCTGGTGGCTTAACATTTTCAACTAAGAGAGGGTACTCTGCCGTCCATGCCATGCAGAGGGACCTATTAAAGTCATATTGGTAGGCAAAAAGGCTTAAGAAGCAATCTTCTATCTCTAAAGGGAGAATTAGGGGGACGGTGCCAAGGTGGGGTCGGGCACCGCCACATACATAACATGCTGTCTTATTATGTTTGTTGGCATTATACCTCATCCATTCTAACCACAAATTAATGTAATTGAATCCAGTTTCAGCGGCCATGGTATCTTCAAAAGTGGGGTTAGCGATGGCCATCATATCTTTAAAGGACTGGATATGTGGTTTTAGCGGATTTGGGACCATATGATCAGCCCCTTGCCACTCTGGAGAGTGGTACATATCTCTGAGGTAGAAATGACCTAATTTGTTGTAGGAACCTTTCTTCCAATACATTCCCATTACATATCGGTCTGCATCCTCGGGGCCAGGATGTTCAATATTTAACATTAATTTCATAGGGGTACTTCCTCCAGGCTTTCTTAAAGTCATTCTTTGAAGGAGGGATCTACCCTGATTGTCTATTTTAGATAAAGAACTTTTGGGTTTATAACCCCAGGCAGGCCCAGTATTCCATCCCGCAGCCCCCCAGTAGTTACAGTCATAACCCCATTGTTCATCTACTACATAAACATAAGGGTCTTTTGCTTGTGGTATATCTTTATAAATGGCTTGAATCTGTGACTTAGGGAATGGGCACTCTACAATATCACAGTAATCAAAAGTGAATGTAGCCACATGGGTACATGATGAATTATACCAGAAAGTGTACCCACTAGCATCTTTGGTGATGGCCACCTGCTGGGCTTTAAGGAGGCCAACTAAGGAGATAATGTACCAGAGGCACATGGTTGCATAGAGTTAGCTTCCTCTGGGGCAGGTGTCTTCTTGCAATGGAAAGCGTGGATCCAGTTAGGCCTTCCGGCCAATTTGACAGAGGTAGGGGAGATCAGGAGAACTTGGAACGGTCCGTCAAATCTTGGTTCCAGGGTGTGTTTTTGCACAAATTTCTTGACCAGAACCCAGTCACCGGGGAGCAGACTGTGGTTGCCTGTGTCAGAATCAGGATCTGGAATTGAAGAGAAAACTTGGGCATGGATTTTGTTCAAAGCATTTGCGAGTTCAGTTACATAATCTACTAAAACATCAGTTTGAAGTTGTAGTTGTTGGGGAAAATAGCAACCTAGCCTAGGTGCAGTCCCAAATAGAATCTCATATGGGGACAATGAGGTAGTATTTTTGTACAAGAGCATTCATTAGATCCTTTGATAAATGTGCAGGTCTGTGTGCCCATTGTACGACTGCTGGGTACAAATTCTTAGGGAGGCAGAACTTGAGGTTGTTGGAGTACACTCCATCCTTCAGAACTGCCCCTTTCTGTTTCCACTTCTGTAAATCCTCTTGTTTTCCAAATTAATCCGAAGTCGTGAGCCACGCCCAGTGCATATCTTGAATCCGTGTAGATATTGGCGCGCTTTCCTTCAGAGATCTTGCATGCTGAAGTCAGGGCTTGCAATTCAGCTTCTTGTGCAGACATAGCTGATGGTAAAGATGATGATTTGACAATTTCATCTGTTGTGGTTACGGCATATCCTGTATGGTATCTTCCTTCTTCATCAGCATATCTTGAGCCGTCCACAAACAGGGTGAGATCGGGATCTACCAATGGGTCTTCATGTACAGTTGGTAGATGTGTTGTTTCCATTTTCATCTGTTCAAAACAGTCATGAGGTGTATCTGGGTCGTATTCATTCACTATGGTTAAATCTTGGAACTCATTCTCCAGGAAATGACGCGGCCATGCTTTTAGGTGGTCAGTTGTTGGATATTTGACAACACCATTTTCCTGTAGCTGTGATTCGTCCATAGTGGCCTATGCTTTTGCCATAGGCCCAAGATCATTCCATGATATTGTTTTCAACTTGGTCACAGGGACATGTGGAATGGCAGTGTCCCAATGACGGTACAAATGCTTGAGTTCCGGAGGTAGATGAATCAAGACCATACTGTTGCCTTCAGAATCACAGTGGAAGTCTTGTGCAGTGAGTTTTACTTCAACCAGCTTATAGAGTTCATCTTCATAGCAGGGTTCAGGAGTGATGTTTGGTTTGTACCACATGGTACAGAAGGCATGTCCTGCTCCGTCATGAAGGAGTGCTTGTCCATCATAAAAGGATAGGTTGGGATGCATTTCCTTCTTGATGGTGCCAGTGAGAAGAGAAACATACATTTCGTCCATGATGAATCCGTAGTATACACCCCCCTCAGGGAGTGGCAGAAGAGTGGACGGATTGAGAACTTGACATCTTTGGAGGGTAATGTTGTCAGGCAACAAAAGATGACATTGAAGGCGAAGATGCCTGGCAGGAGTAACATGCTTAAGCTGGATCTGGTTGACTATGGCAGAAATGTCATGAGGGGCCAAGACAACCAGGGGGTGGCCAAGGACAAGATCTCCAGTTCTTTCAATGAGCTCTCTGGCAGCAAATACGGCCCGAAGGCAAGAGGGACGTCCTCTGGCCACAATATCCAGTTGGCAGGAGAAAAATCCAATAGGCCTTTGGCGGCCTCCAGGACCATGAGCCTGAGTGAGTACTCCTGTTGCATGGCCTTGTCTTTCAGAAACAAACAATTTGAAGGGTTTGGTATAGTCTGGCAGGCCAAGAGCAGGAGCAGAAGCAATAGCACGTTTGAGAGAACAGAAGTTGTCAAGGGCTTCTGTGGACAAGCAAAATGGGTCTGACTTGAGAGCATCATAAAGAGGTTGCATAAGGAGTGAGGCTTCTGGGATCCATGCTCGGCAATAGGAAATGAGGCCTAGGAAGGCGTGTAGTGACTTCGAGGTTCTTGGAGGTGGAATGTCCAGTACCGCTCAAACTCGGTCACGGGTAAGATGTCTGGTTCCCTGAGACAGACAATGGCCAAGGAAAATAACAGTAGGTTGGCAGAATTGCAGCTTGAGACGTGAAGCTTTACATCCTTGTTCTGCTAGGTAGCAAAGAAGATTAAGTGAGCATTGTTCTGTTGTGGGTATATCATCTCCAAAAAGCAGCAAATCATCCACATATTGAAGCAGGACGACCTCAGGATGGTCAGATTGCCATGGATCAAGGATAGAGCACATGGCCTTCGCAAATTGACTTGGTGAATTTTGTGCCCCTTGGGGCATGACAGTCCATGTGTACTGTTGTTTGTCATGTGTGAAAGCAAACAGATATTGGCAAGTTGGATCCAGGGGAACACTGAAGAAGGCATTGGCTAGATCAATTACAGTGAAGTACTTGGCAGAGGGTGGAACGCCGGAAAGGAGAGTGTGTGGGTTGGGCACTATTGGAGTGTCCAAAACTGTGGCTTCATTTACTGCTCTGAGGTCTTGGACCAATCTGTACTTTTCTGGTTCGCCTTTTGGAGTCTTTTTCTTTACTGGAAATAATGGAGTATTGCATGGTGATTCACATTTGACAAGAGCACCCTTCTCCAGGAGTGCTTGAATTTGAATTGTAATGGCTGCAGCTTGAGCTGGTTTCAAAGGATACCGTGATTTTCGTGGCAATTTTACGCCTGGGATGAGCTTTACCACCACAGGCGGGACCTTTAGATGGCCTATGTCCTCTGGGCCTGTGGACCACAGCTTGTTGGGAACATCAGTCTTTAGTGAATCAGGGAAATTAGTCCTTAGGTCTTTTGCATCCCCATGAGGCTCTTCTAGATGTAGCATCAGGGGTAAGGAGCACAAAGCTGAGGTGTCTGAGACAGATAGAGGGGTGGATAGTTCCACTTGTCCATCTGGAGTAAAGGTGATGGATGCCTGCAGGCGTGAAAGAACATCAGCTCCTAACAGGTTAATGGGGCATGTGGAAGATACCACAAAGCGAGCAAGCAAGTTGTGGCAGTTACCAACCCGCAGTGGGGTGGACAGGGGACCTTGCCTTGGAAGGCCGTCCACCCCAACACAGGAGACATCAATATTGGAAAGAAATGAGGTATCGGGCAGGTCTTGTTCTCTCAGAACACTTCGGGCTGCACCTGTGTCAACTAGGAAAGTGGTGGGCTGGCCCTCAATGGGTAAAATTACAGTAGCTAGAGGCCCCCCTAGTTCCCCTGAAGACACTGCCATGGCAGGGGCATTAAGCATCAGCGGGTTTGCTCTCCTCAGTATGGGCTGTGTTACTGACTCAAACCCCTTTCTATGTCATTAGCCATAGCTTTTTGCAGTCTGAACATGTCTATCATTATAAATAATGGTTAATAGTAAGTTAAGTAAAGTTCCTATATGTCTTTGGATAAAACATTAACTATTGCGGTACTATCATTTATATCAATTAGACTATAACAATTACACCCTGTAACTAAAATGAATAACCAGTAGTGGCTGGGTTAATAAACATGTCACAAACCCTTCTAATGCTAAACCATCATTTAAAGTAAAGGATGTTACTGTAAACATAAGATCTGTAACTAGCAAGATTCGATTA